CCAGTGGTGCAGTGGCTGTGGACCGGTAGTTGTGGTACAGTGGTTATGAGCTGGTGGTTGTGGTACAGTGGCTGTGGTACAGTGGCTGTGGGCTGGTAGTTGTGGTACAGTGGTTGTGGTACAGTGATTATGAGCCGGTGGTTGTGGTACAGTGGTTGTGGTACAGTGGCAGTGGGTTGTGGTGATGGTGGTAGCGGGCACTTAGTGGTAAGTACCACAACACTGGTAACGGGGAACGGGTAATGGTAACGAGGTAAGGCATCATAATAGAAACGGGACGGGTAATGGTAACGGTCGGGTAATGGTATCAAGCTAACGCATCATAATGGTAACGGGACGGATAATGGTAACGAGGTAAGGCATCATAATGGCAACGGGCCAGAGGTGCAGGACCCAACAGTTCGGACAGGGAGTAATCTGGTAGGCGTAACGAGGCGGCTAACTGACTGCCAGGCGACGTGGGATTTACACTTTGTTTCTCTACCCGTCATGACCACCGGGGTATTTTTGGCTTTCACAGCAGTGCACGACCCTCCCTCCCTCCTCCCTCTCTCTCTCTTCTCTCCCTCCCACCACCCCTTCCCTCCTTCGCTATTATCATCCCTCCCTTCCTCCTTCTCCTCTTCCTCCTTCCCACCACCCCTTTCTTCTCTCCACTCCTCCCCTCCTGCTTGCCTCGTCCCTCTTACTCTCCCTTGTTGTACTCATTGGCTCCCTTCTCGCCAGGATGTACTCACGTAACCTTCCATCTACCCAGGTCGACTTGAGGTTGATGGTGGGTGATGTTAGTGTGTTGGGGAGGAGAGTTGTGGTTGGGAGGGAGAGTTAGTGTGTTGGGAGGGAGAGTTAGGGTTGGGAGGGAGAGTTAGTGGTTGGGGAGGAGAGTTAGGTGGGGAGGAGAGTAGGGTTGGGAGGGAGGTTAGTTGTTGGGGAGGAGGTAGGGTTGGGGAGGGAGAGTTAGTGTGTTGGGAGGGAGAGTTAGTGTGTTGGGGAGGGAGAGTTAGTGTGTTGGGAGGGAGAGTTAGTGTTGGGAGGGAGAGTTAGTGTGTTGGGGAGGAAGAGTTAGTGTGTTGGGGAGGAGAGTTAGTGTGTTGGGGAGGGAGAGTTAGTGTGTTGGGGAGGAGAGTTAGTGTGTTGGGGAGGGGAGTTAGTGTTGGGGAGGGAGAGTTAGTGTGTGGAGGAGAGTTAGTGTGTTGGGGAGGGAGGTTAGTGTGTTGGAGGGAGAGTTAGTGTGTTGGGAGGGAGAGTTAGTGTGTTGGGGAGGGAGAGTTAGTGTGTTGGGGAGGAGAGTTAGTGTGTTGGGGAGGGAGAGTTAGTGTGTTGGGGAGGGAGAGTTAGTGTGTTGAGAGGGAGAGTTAGTGTGTTGGGGAGGGAGAGTTAGTGTGTTGGGGAGGGAGAGTTAGTGTGTTGGGGAGGGAGAGTTAGTGTGTTGGGGGGAGAGTTAGGGTGTTGGGGAGGGAGAGTTAGTGTGTTGGGGAGGAGAGTTAGTGTGTGGGGAGGGAGAGTTAGTGTGTTGGGGAGGGAGGGGGGGGGTGTTGGGGAGGGAGTTAGTGGTTGGGGAGGGAGAGAGGTGTGTTGGGGAGGGAGAGTGGTTGGGGAGGAGAGTAGTGTGTTGGGAGGGAGGTTAGTGTGTTGGGGAGGGAGAGTTAGTGTGTTGGGGAGGAGAGTTAGTGTGTTGGGGAGGAGAGTTAGTGTTGGGGAGGGAGAGTTAGTGTGTTGGGGAGGGAGAGTTAGTGTGTTGGAGGGAGAGTTAGTGTGTTGGGGAGGGAGAGTTAGTGTGTTGGGAGGGAGAAGGGTGGGGAGGAGAGTTAGTGTGTTGGGGAGGGAGAGTTAGTGTGTTGGGGAGGGAGAGTTAGTGTTGGGGCGGGAGAGTTAGTGTGTTGGGGAGGGAGAGTTAGTGTTGGGGGGAGAGTTAGTGTGCTGGGAAGGGAGAGTTAGTGTGTTGGGGACGGAGAGTTAGTGTGTTGGGGAGGGAGAGTTAGTGTGTTGGGGAGGGAGAGTTAGTGTGTTGGGGAGGGAGAGTTAGTGTGTTGGGGAGGGAGAGTTAGTGTTGGGGAGGAGAGTTAGTGTGTTGGGGAGGAAGAGTTAGTGTGTTGGGAGGGAGAGTTAGTGTGTTGGGGAGGAGAGTTAGTGTGTGGGGAGGGAAGTGTGTTGGGAGGGAGAGTTAGTGTGTTGGGGAGGGAGAGTTAGTGTGTTGGGGAGGGAGAGTTAGTGTGTTGGGGAGGGAGAGTTAGTGTTGGGGGGAGGTTGTGTTGGGGAGGGAGAGTTAGTGTGTTGGGGAGGGAAAGTTAAAGTAGGTACTTGTAGTGTGTGTGTGCGCGTGGGTACTGCACATATGAATTTGGCATTGTTTGAAAAGTTAGTGTTTGTCTGTCTGTTTGTCTGTATGTATGTATGTATGTATGTATGTATGTATGTATGTATGTATGTATGTATGTATGTATGTATGTATGTATGTATGATTTCAGTGAAGGTCTGGTGCAACGGCCAGCACACTCGCCTCACAAGATAGTTACTCTGGGTTCGATCCTCTGGTATGTTGATGCTATGGACAAGTTCCTTTATGTCATTTGCCTCTGTCTACCCAGCAGTAATTGAGTTCATGAATGTTTATCGATATGATGATTGTGTTCCGGGATAATGATTAACATAGAGAAGTTGGTGAGTTTTCCGTTCTTCTTAAATTTTTCCTTGACTGTGTGTGTATGTATGTAGGTATGTGTATGCAGATGTATGTATATGTATGCATGTGTATGTATGCATGTGTGTTTGTTGTTACGTGTGTTTGTATGTGGATATTGTTGCCTCCACTCTTACAAACCACTAGACCCTAAACTCCTTCTCTTTTCTTCGCTTGAACGTTGCTGTCGTTCCTTTCGCCAGTTGCTTCCTCGCATCGTCCCTCCGCAACACCTTTGGGTCCGTCTCTCTCTTGATTTGCACTACAGCTTTCCTCGCCAGTATTCTTAAAACTGACACTTGTACCGCCTTACAGCCAGAGTCAGGATTCATAAAGATTCTTTTCTCACTATTTTGTGCTAAATGAATGTATATAGTTAAATTAGAGTATTGGTGTTTTGCATGATCTGAAAAATGGCAGATGAATTTTAATGTGGACAAATATATAGTACTTAGTCTAGGAGATATAAACAGAGAAACCAGATAACAAATGAACAACGTTGCTATAGACAAATCTTACTATGAGAAAGATTTAGGAGTAATGATAAGTAGGAATTTTAAACAAAGACAACGATATGTATTTGCACGAAACAAGGCTAACAAAGGAGTGTTAGTTACAAGACTAGCGAGGTTATCCTAAAACTATATCTTGAGCTTGTGAAACCTCACTTGGATTACGCGGTTCAGTTCTGGTCACCGTACTACAGAATGGATACCCTAGAAACAATTCAGAGGGGATGACAAGACTAATCCCGGTCATTAAGAACCTTGAGTACAGCGACTGGTTTAAAGCATCTCAATCTGCACTCCTTCGAGAGACGTAGAGTGAGGGGCGATATGATCGAGGTGTATAAATGGAAGTCAGGGCTAAACAAAAGTAATATAACAAAGGTATCCAAACTATCCAACCAGGAGCGAACTCGTAGCAATGGTTTTAAATGGACAAATTTAGATTTAGGCGCGAAATAGGTAAACATTCGTTTGGAAATAGAGTAGTGGATGAATGGAACAAGTTACCAAACATCATCATTTACTCGAACACGCTGGGTAGCTTCAAATATAGGTTGGACGGATATATGAGTAATAGTTGCTGGGTGTAAACGGGACTGATGGGCCAAAAGGCCCGCTGCAGTTTCCTCCATTCTTTGTTCTTATGTTTGTATAGCTTTATATTTCAGTTTAATTGAGCAAGTTAAGTTAATCCTTATTATATATATATATATATATATATATATATATATATATATATATATATATATATATATATATATATATATATATATATATATATATATATATATATATATATTATTTTCCTAATTTTCGTAATGGCCTTGCCAAGGGAAGAAGGCCAGAGGCCTGTGTGGGATCCTTCCATTGTTCTTGATAGTCTTGTCAAGGGCTACTTTAAAGCCTGTTACTGCCTCGCTTCCATAGCTTGTAGATTGTTCCATAGGTCTACCACCCACTGTGTGAAGAATTACTTCATATTAGTCCTGCATGGCATCTTGGCCACCTTGAAGTTGTCCTCTCGTGTTGGTGGTGTGTGCCATCAGGAAAAAATGGCATAAATTCATGTTTTCCATCCCTTTCAAGATTTTTAATGTCATTAAGATCCGCCTTGCTGTTTCTTGCCTGAAGAGTTGTCAGTCTTGAGGCCATCAGTCCTAAGGCCCTCAATCTACTTGGATAATCGAAATTATCTAGTCTTGTAATCATCATGGTCGATCTTTGTTGCAACTTTCCTAGGGATGTTATTTTTGTCTGACAGTAAGGTTTCCCTCCCTGTATACAGTATATAATCCAGATGGGGACTTACGAGACTTAAAACCTGATGAACATTTTTCATGTCTTTGTATGTGAAGGTTCGTCTAATAATTCCTAAACTTATGTTGGCTTTTTTCACTCCTGCTTCCACTTTTTCGCCATTTTATTACTGGGTGCATCTCGGGGTAGGGAAACCGTCTTGTAAACTTTACCTGCCAGTGATGAACTGTGTGTGGCAGATCCTGTTCTGGTATTATAATCAGAAAGTAAATTGTAGTGAATGATACTATACGTTATGAATAATTAGATAATGGTAAGTACTGTTACTATAAACAGGTTAATGATAGATACTATTACCACAAACAATTAAATTATTGGTAATGGATATGGTTACTCTAAAGAACTAAGTTAATGGTCAAAGGTGTAGTACTATAAGCAATAACTAGTTATAGCAAGTTAAGGATAAATATTAATCTAAACAGTTAAGGGCAGGTGTCCCATGTTCTATAAGTGTCCTGCACAACAAGGCATTAACAGTGTTTCTCTTGTTTCAGATTCTACTGGGACCTGTGCATGTTGTTCCTGCTGGTAGCCAACCTCATCATCCTGCCGGTGGCCATCTCCTTCTTCAATGACGACCTCTCCACTCGCTGGATCGCCTTCAACTGCCTCTCTGACACAATATTTCTCATAGACATTGTCGTCAATTTTAGAACGGGTGAGTTATCCTCTGGGGGTGAAGTCTTATGTGGGAGTTCTGCGAGGTACTGCTTGTTTTCCCCTTTTGTTTTGGTGTGACGTCACGAGGTTTCATAGGTTGTGGTCAGGGGATGTAGAGAGTATATTCCTTGGCTGTGGTGCCGCAGATGTTGTCATTTTATGGCGTCAAGACCGTGGCACCACTGTATTTTTTGTGGATTATATTAATGGCATTATTAATTGTGACTGATGATTTTCTCTTTCAAAAGTGAATCCGATAATTGAAAAATTTACATAAATAGATGGATTGAGAAATTGATAAAATTGACATATATAAATGGATAGATATATAGATAGATAGACAAAACAAAGAAAAGAGAAATGATAAAGAAAACAAGAAAGGAAAGAAAGAAACCGTACCACAGATAACTTCAGGGATCCTTCATATCAAACCTGTTGAGACGGACCATCTGGTGAGAGGTTCAGTGAGGCGAGGAGTACGGAGGCTGGGACCAGCTCACAGAAGACCGAGAATCAAATGGTCGACTCCTTCCTGGTTTAACCTGGTTGTGTTAGCCAAGATAAGGAAATCGCAATGGGGGTTCAGAGTTAATATATATATATATATATATATATATATATATATATATATATATATATATATATATATATATATATATATATATATATATATATATATATATATATATATATAAAGAGGTCGTTAGGTCGTGTTTGTGGGTGTACGAATTAATAACATTCAACTTTGAACCTCTAAATGCATAAGTACAAACATTCAGACCTTCATTCTTGTGGTAAGTTGAGAGGTTCAAAGTTGGACCCGACCCACCTGACGCCACCTAACCTGATGTATCGTAACTAATATCTAAAACATAAACTGGAAAATCTCCAAGTAATTTTTAGCTGCTGGTATTGTTGGACAGACGTAAAGATGACGTCACCGCCTAAATATTAAATAACCTCGTGAGTGAAAGCATACACACTGGCCCTCGTTACGTTCCTATTTGTTAATGATGACGTCAGGAGCTTGCCACACGTAAGGCTAATGAGGCTGGTGTGAGCGGGAGATGTTAATGGTTCAGACCTCCTCATAACCTGCTGCTACACCTCCCTCATATAATTAACCTGCAACCGTGCGTCATTAACCGTAACTACGGAGTCATTAACATATACAAATATGAGTTTGGTCCGTGCTACTTGAACTTCAGGCCATAGAGATGAAACCAAAGGGTCGATTAATTTATTTCGCTAAGTGAGGCTTAAGTTATAAACGCATGATTATACCACAACACATCACATGTGTTACTGTATATGTCGACTCGATGACACACTAGTGCCTATTCACACTCACCCGCCCACACTTACCCGCCCACACTCACCCGCCCACTCTCACCAATCAACTCACCCACATTAGCCCACACTCATCTAATCACACATTTCCTGAGCACTCGAACTCGTGTGTGTGTGTGTGTGTGTGTGTGTGTGTGTGTGTGTGTGTGTGCCACGATACATAAACCTTTGTTAGATGAGCGTCAATGGCGGTCACCAGTGCTACGTGTTGCCTCCAGTGCTACGTGTTGGCTACGTGTTGCTCCAGTGGCACGTGTTGCCTCTAGTGCTACTGGTTGCCCAGTGTTACGTGTTGCCTCCAGTGCTACGTGTTGCCTAGTGCTACGTGTTGCCCAGTGCTGCTGCCTCCAGTGCTACGTGTTGCCTCTAGTGCCACGTGTTACCCCAGTGCTACGTGTTTCCTCCAGTGCTACGTGTTGCCTCCAGTGCTACGTGTTGCCTCCAGTGCTACGTGTGTTGCCTCTAGTGCTACGTGTTGCCTCCAGTGCTACGTGTTGCCTCCAGTGCTAAGGTGTTGCCTCTAGTGCTACGTGTGTTGCCCAGTGTTACGTGTTGCCTAGTGCGGCCTCAGTGCGCATGTTGCTCCAGTGTTACATGTTGCTTCCAGCACGTGTTGCCTCCAGTGCTACGTGTTGCCAGTGCCACGTGTTACCTCCAGTGCTATGTTGGCTCCAGTGCTACGTGTTGTCTAGTGCCGTGTTGCTCCAGTGCTACGTGTTGCCTCTAGTGCTACGTGTTGCTCCCAGTGTGTTGCCTCCAGTGCTAAGGTTTGGCTCTAGTGCTACGTGTTGTCGCCCAGTGTTACGTGTTGCCTCCAGTGCTACGTGTTGCCTCTAGTGCTGCGTTGCCTCCAGTGTTACATGTTGCTCCAGTGCTACGTGTTGCCTCCAGTGCTACGTGTTGCCTCCAGTGCTACGTGTTGCCTCTAGTGCCACGTTGCCTCCAGTGCTACGTGTTGCCTCCAGTGCTACGTGTTGCCCAGTGCTACGTGTTGCCTCCAGTGCTACGTGTTTGCCTCCAGTTGCGGTGTTGCCTCTAGTGCTACGTGTTGCCTCAGTGTTACGTGTTGGCTCCAGTGTTGCGTGTTGCCTCAGTGCTGATGTTGCTCCAGTGCTAAGGTGTTGCTCCAATGCTACGTGTTGCCTCCAGTGTTACGTGTTGCTCCAGTGTTACGTGTTGCCTCCAGTGCTACGTGTTGCCTCTGGTGCTACGTGTTTGCCTCCAGTGCCAAGGTGTTGCCTCTAGTGCTACGTGTTGCCTCCAGTGTTACGTGTTGCCCGTGGTGCTACGTGTTGCCTCCAGTGCTACGTGTTGCCTCTAGTGCTACGTGTGTTGCCTCCAATGCTAAGGTGTTGCCTCTCGTGCTACGTGTTGCCCAGTGTTACGTGTTGTGCCTCCAGTGTTACGTGTTGCCTCCAGTGCTACGTGTTGCCTCCAGTGCTAAGGTGTTGCCTCTAGTGCTACGGTCTTGCCCAGTGTTACGTGTTGCCTCCAGTGCTACGTGTTGCCCCTTAGTGCTACGTGTTGCCTCCAGTGTTACATGTTGCTTCCAGTGCTACGTGTTGCCTCCAGTGCTACGTGTTGCCTCGTGCCGTGTTGCCTCTAGTGCTACGTGTTGCTCCAGTCCCGTGTTACCTCCAGTGCTACGTGTTGCCTCCAGTGGTACGTGTTTGTTTAGTGCTACGTGTTGCCTCCAGTGCTACGTGTTGCCTCCAGTGCTACGTGTTGCCTCCAGTGCTACGTGTTGCCTCTAGTGCTACGTGTGCCTCCAGTCCTACGTACCCAGTGCTACGTGTTGCCTCCAGTGCTAAGTGTTGCCTCCAGTGTTAGGCTGCTCTAGTGCTACGTGTTGCCTCCAGTGCTACGTGTTGCCTCTAGTGCTACGTGTTGCCCCACCTACGTGTTACCTCCAGTGCATGTGTTACCTCCAGTGCTACGTGTTGCCTCTAGTGCTACGTGTTGCCTCCAGTCTTACGTGTTACCCAGCTGGGTGTTGCCTCCAGGTTAAGTGTTGCCTCCAGCGTTATGTTGCCTCCAGTGTTAAGTGTTGCCTCCAGTGTTAAGTGTTGCCCCAGTGCTAAGTGTTGCCCAGTGTTAAGTGTTGCCTCCAGTCTTAAGTGTTGTTCCCAGTGCTAGTGTTGCCTCCAGTGTTAAGTGTTGCCTCCAGCGTTAAGTGTTGCTTCCAGTGCTGAGTGTTGCCTCCAGTGTTAAGTGTTGCCTCCAGTGCTAAGTGTTGCCTCCAGTGTTAAGTGTTGCCCAGCGTTAAGTGTTGCCCAGTGTAAGTGTTGCCCAGTGCTAGTGTTGCTCCAGTGTTGTTGCCCCAGTGCTAAGTGTTGCCCAGTGTTAAGTGTTGCCTCCAGTGTTAGCGCTGCCCAGTGTGCTGTCCCATGTTGCGTTGCCTCAGTGCAAGTGTTGCCTCCAGTGTTAAGTGTTGCCCTGCGTGTTGCCTCAGTGTTATGTTGCCCAGTGTTAAGTGCTGCTTCCAGTGCTGTTGCCTCAGTGTTGGTTGCCTCAGAGTGTTGCTCCAGTGCTGTGTTGCTCAGTGCGGTTGCTCCAGGTTGTGCCTCCAGTGTTAAGTGTTGCCCAGTGCAAGTGTTGCTTCCCAGTGTTAAGTGTTGCTCCCAGTGCTAAGTGTTGCCTCCAGTGTTAAGTGTTGCCCAGTGTTAAGTGCTGCTTCCAGTGCTAAGTGTTGCCTCCAGTGTTAAGTGTTGCCTCCAGTGCTAAGTGTTGCCTCAGTGTTAAGTGTTGTTCCAGTGCTAAGTGTTGCCTCCAGTGTTAAGTGTTGCCTCCAGTGTTAAGTGTTGCTTCCAGTGCAAGTGTTGCCTCCAGTGTTAAGTGCTCCCAGTGTTAAGTGTTGCTCCCAGTGCTAAGGTTGCCCAGTGGGTGCTTCCAGTGCTAAGGTTTCAGTGTTAAGGTCCAGTGTTAGCGTTGCTCCAGTGCTAAGTGTTGCCTCCAGTGCTGGAAGTGGCTCCAGTGTTGCGTTGCCTCCAGTGTTAAGTGTTGCCTCCAGTGTTGCTGCCTCCAGTGCTAAGTGCCAGGTAGTGTTGAGTTGCGGTTGTGTTGCCTCCAGTGTTAAGTGCTACCCAGTGTTAAAGTGTTGCTTCAGTGTTAAGTGTTGCCTCCAGTGGTGATGTTGCCTCCAGTGCTAAGTGTTGCCTCATTGCTAAGTTTTGGTTAGTGTTAAGTGTTGCCTCCAGTGTTAAGTGTTGCCTCAGTGTTAAGTGTTGCTCCAGTGTAAGTGTTGCCTCAGTTTTAAGTGTTGCCTCCAGTGTTAAGTGTTGCCTCCAGTCTTAGTGTTGTTCAGTGCTGTGTTGCCTCCAGTGTTAAGTGTTGCCTCCAGCGTTAAGTGTTGCTTCCAGTGCTGGTGTTGCCTCCAGTGTTAAGTGTTGCCTCAGTGCTAGTGTTGCCTCAGTGTTAAGTGTTGCTCCAGCGTTAAGTGTTGCCTCCAGTGTTAAGTGTTGCCTCCAGTGCTAAGTGTTGCCTCAGTGTTAAGTGTTGCTCCAGTGCTAAGTGTTGCCTCCAGTGTTTAAGTGTTGCCTCCAGTGTTAAGTGCTGCTTCCAGTGCTAAGTGTTGCCTCAGTGTTAAGTGTTGCCTCGGTTGTGTTGCCTCAGTGTTAAGTGTTGCTCCAGTGCTAAGTGTTGCCTCAG